TTGATCGGTCTCCTCGACGCTCTTTCTCGTTTGGTGCGGTAGCTGGTCTTTCTTTCTATCATTTTGTTTCTCTTCCGAGTGGTTTTTGTACCCTATTTTTTTCTGTTTCTTCGTGGGGTCGTGTATGCCGGGTTTTGAGACCACGGGCTCCCAATCTTTTTCTTTAGAGCTAATGTGAGAAACAACAACAACAACAACTAGTCTAGCAGTAGCGCAAAATCTGAGGTCGGGCCTATCAGATAAAGGCTGAACCATAAGACCACCTCAGTCAGCTGGAGGTGCACCTTGTATTCGTCAGACCAGGCATCAGTTCGTTCGCGGCCAGCTGAATGAAACAAATGCTTCAAAGCAGCCGACAAATAGACTAAATAAATGCTTCAGAAGTTGTTTGTTTGTTTTCCGTTGGTTGTTCAAAACTGACCGACAAGTTTGGCACCGTTCATTCTCGTACGTAGACAGGGGAAGTGTTCAGTAATGCAACTTCTAGACGGCACGGGCTTACACGGATTCGGGTTCTAAATTACTAACAATGTTTGGTGCTGTTTTAATTGATAGAAGACAAAATAATAGTGAAGCTGTGTGTTCTGACGCATGCGGGCTATATACAACAGCAGGTAGGTGATGAATGAAGGGAACCCTACAACTTTCTTCAAACGCACTTGCTTCTTGAATGCTCCCTAACAACCGCACTTTCAACTCGCACATAGACTAGAAGCCACTAGCAGTAGCATCAAAGAGCTACTGATGCCGATATCTAACCTGATGGCGCGGGGGGTCATCATTATCGGGGTGAAAGGATTGGGAAGACAATAAAAGCGTGCACAAAACAAATGACTTCGGATTTTTCCCGACAAAACTTTATTTTGGACCTCTCCCGGGGGGAGGGGGGAGTACGAAGGCCCCATCCCCCCCCCCCACCACCAAGGCTATACAATTTCCAATATGTACAAGCCCACACTAGATCCTATACATAGAGGGGGCACATTTATCTTATGAACGGGGGTGGTAGTACAATCCACGTAGTAGCCCCTGGTGAGCTTGCGTGCACCGCAGCCACGATACCGTCCATGGTAAAGCAGAGAGAGAGCTTGGGGAAGAGTGGTCACAATGAGCACAGTCTCCATTGGGAGGGGATCCCTATCAATGACCCCGTCAACAAGCCGAGACAAGCTTGGGAGACATGGCATACTACCTGCCGCCGCTGTTATGGCAGGTGTTGCAAGTAAGTTAGAAAGCCCCTACGCCCGACGATGAGAGTTTTTGGTTGTTCGGCAGCTTCGACGTGTCCCCCTAATACCTCTCGCGTATCCTCGCAGGTGCGCGGGTTCTTGATTCCTAGGTACGACCCGTACTTTTCGGCACCTAAGGTGCCCTGGACACAACACTTCTGCTCATGGGCAGCCACAAAAAAAAACAAACGTGTTCGAGCAGTTGATATGTGCAGACTATGTCGACTATCTTTCATGTTTATTTTTCTCTGAATGCCCGTCTCCGGCGGAAGACATGCGCATCGCATTAGCTACTCTAAGCAAACCGCCCAAATATGGTATGCATTCACCAGGTCATGATACCTTGCTTAAGCGCCAGACGTGGAGATTTTGCTTGGAGTACTATGACACTGTGATGAAGCATCGTAGTGGCGGATTTTTTCCATCCCACAGAGGTATGAGAAGACAATGGCCCGCAGGGCAAGCGTTTTTGTTGTGGATAATGGGCGCGCAAGTCGCACGCCGCGATGCCGTCTGGCTCGCGACTTCCTTTGACCCGCCACTAGGTGGCCACGGTGATTTATCTTTTGCCGTCGAGCATTCTGAAAAGCAGCATGAACAACTTCCCGTGACCGAGGGGGTTCCTGGCTGCTAGTCCCCACCAATGGTAAACCTTCGCATTCCGGAGACTCGTCAAGGGTGTGTCACAACGCTCGCTTTTAGTGCATGTGTCACAATATATATTCCAACTTATTCTGCGACACTATGTTCTGGTGGCGCTGCATGTACGCCTGCCTCCTTCTCGATTCTTCCCACTTTGCCTGTCTCTGCTGATACCTCTTCAAGCTCTTCCCGACGAGGGCTCTGCGTAGATAACACCGGTTGAGCAACAGTGTACAGGACACACTTGTTCAACTGGGGAATAATGATGAATGGGCGGCTCATAATGCAGAACCAGGACAGGTTGGTTGACACAACGATATAACTGGTTCAAATGCCTATCACCGGGGAGACGATTGTCTGGGTGTCAAGTACTGACTACGGGAACTTAGGGTGGGTGAAGTCGGGCCTTGATGAGGTGAAACACGTTCGAACCGCACTTAATTCTGAAGTCGGGTGTTCGAACCCCGGGTCGGGTTGTGACGTGGTCGATAGTGACTGATCTTTACATCACATAATCTTTAATCTTCTGCCTGACGCGACCGAATTGATGCATTTTCCCTCCACGCTTTTTTCCAACGTGGGTTAGTGGGGCAGTAGGTCAGAGCGGTTGTGGTGATTTCATTGGGTCCCTTGGATAGCGCAATAAGACCAGCACAACGAAAAAAAAGGCCATTCATTGATGCAGCATTTAGCGTGCGTCACCTGGTGTCGCGGAGACCCCTACCGTGCTCGGCCCCAACAGCTAAGATTCCAGGGCCCCTTAGGTCTGGTCTCCACATGTCCCGGTGTCGCCCCGAGGTTTCCGACAAATCGGCGAGATTCGAGGTGGAATTTAATGTTACTCATGATGGAGATGCTACATTCACTACAACAATCGTGAAGTCCTCGATACAGGAAGTTCGATTGGTGAACAAGAAATGACGCTTCGAGAACTTGCTTGTTCGTTGTGTACACAAACAATAATGCAAACCGGGATCTTTTTTTGTCCAATAGTGCAATAGGACCTGTTTCGGGCATCGCGATGCCCAAAAAGACGAACCATTGGAACAGCGTTCACCCGATCACCTCTCTGGCTGATCACGTCTCCTCTGAAAGGTGTGCAAACTTCTGTCGCTCCAGTTGTGGCAGAAGGCAACGAGCCGTGGTCACTGTCGACCGATAGGGACAGGTCGGTGGTTTGTACAACGAGCGTCTTGTACCTGCCAAACATGAGGAAAACGTTCAGGGAGTGCGCGCTGATTAGAGAGGCTGGTACGCCCGCGCCGACGTGTATATCTGGTCCCTTTCGCACAACCACGGTTGGTTGCTTGATGATTTGAATCATCGTCAACATATTTCAGACCATTTCAGCAAATATTTAATAAAGAATTCAGTGTGACCGATAGCTGATGAAGCAGCTCCCCAAAACAGTTCAACTATTGTATATTCAGCCAATACCTGCACCTTTGCCTCACAGCCCCCTTGTTTCACGATCGGAGTGTTCGCCATAGACTATTCTCAATCACAACAAATGTCAACAGAATCACGCCCAGACACACGGGGTGATTTGGTACCGAACGTCGTCCCGGGAGTATGAGTATTGTTTCGAGGAAAACACCTACCTACGACCTCAGGAAACCGAGCGGACCCAAAATTACGCGTTAGAACGGGCCCATCTAAACTGCGGAGAACGGGCCATGAGCTAAGCATGGATCGTTTGCCACTCCTTCAAGGTACTTCACCCGAAACGAAAGACAATCTCAACAATATCCGGCGAACCCCTAATCGAAGGCTGCAAGAATCACAATCTCTTTTACAAAGGACCCACTAAAGTTATTGAGACGGCATTGATGAATAAAAGGGGTTGAGAAAACGTCGAGTTGTCAACTTTCGCCTCTTACACTTATTCTGTGGGGCAACATATTGAAAACCCAGGGCGAAGTGTCACGATTGCCGAAAAATCTGCAAGATGAAACACAATACAATTGCCCGATTCACTACTCCCGCTCTGTTTATTTAGCAGCACAAGCAGCGTCTTGTATTCGTTATTGTTGCGCCCATTACAGCTCCCTGGTGCGGGTTGGTTCTCTGCTGCGGCTTGTCTCTTCTGTGTTTTCATTCCTATATATTTCTATTGAAAAATAACAGCACTTCATCTG